CTAAACCCTAAACCGCAAACCCTGAGAGGAAGGGAGTTGATGGCTTCGTGAACGAAGGGACGGTCCTTGGACAGGACCCCTCGGTGCTCGTAAGAACCGCCTGAGGTTTCAACTGTTAAGGGGGGATGCTTATATGTAGGTCGTATAACTGTGTAGGGTCATACAGGGGTTATGTAAAACAACTAAGAGTCTCATAACTTTGTAGGGTCAAGAGGTTTATGAATAGGCGGGACCAGGGTTTAGAGAGTGGTGCTGACGGCGCTGGCAGGGCTCCCGGCGGTTTAGTCAACCGGATGCTTTGGTGGAGGCTAATCTAGGGGCCTCTTTAATTACCTATTATTTTTCGGGCTCCTCCATATAATTATGATGTAATATACCCCAAAACCCTATTCNNTATTCTAATTATCAAAGCCCCTATATCAGGCGGCTAGTGGCCGAAGTCTAAATAGTTTCGTCGTCTTTTCTTGACGCAGAGTTCTAGTGAACTCAATTCCCCCACCCAGCGGCTGCAAAACCTTTACCATACTTGTAGCATAATAGACCCGATACCTTTTTCGAACTATTCAGGCACCCCGTGTCTTAGTCATTTTCTAGTTATCTCTAAAAATGCCATACAGCACAAGCGTTGCTGAAGTTGCCTCTTGGCAGAATTCCGCCATTGCGACTGCATTCGACGCCCGAGGCAGTAGACTCGGACCGCGCTATCCTCAGCCCTGAGCCCTAAAGCCCCTGAACCTCCCTTTCTCGGACCCCTAAACAACCGAATGCCCCTCAGCCCTAAGCCCTAAACCCTAAACCTCCCTTTCTCGGACCCCTAAACACCCGAATGCCCGAATGCGCCAAGCCCCACCCTGCCAGCATAAACTTCCTTGTCAAGGAGCCCTAAACCCTAAAGAGCCTTTACTAACTGTAAAGGAACCTTTAAAGGAGCCCTAAACCTTAAGGAGCCCAGCCCGCAAGCACAGGACCTTTTCGGCAGGTTCACTGTGGCGCAAGCCATGGGTGCGTATCGAGCCTTCCGGGCAGAATGGGAGGAGCGAAGCTCAAGAGGTATTTTGAATTCAGAAGGGCTTTGTTTAAGTTTGGCTGTTCAAGGGTTCAGGCTTTCAAGGAGTTCGGAAGAGCCTAACCCCTAAAGGCGAAACGCTAAACCGTTACCCAGGATCCCCTGTACTGTCTGGTGCTTAGTAGGGAATGGGGGAACGGATCCCTATGATAGTCCATTAAGGTCCCTTATAGTAGTCCCTATAACCCATTCCCCAATTCCCTACTAAGCACCAGACA